TCTGTAGCTTGCACCTTTACATCTTGCAGTGGTCACCCTTGCTCAGGTCACATCAGGATTATGATCTGAAATGACTTCCTATGATGACCTTATCTTACATCTATTAAAAGGCCGATGCTCACTTAAAGTGTAGTTTCTTTTGTGTACGTACTGAACCTACGAACCGTGTTTACCGTATCTGGGTTTTTGATTGCTAATTTGACCTTTAATGGCTTTGCATACACTTTGCTGAATGTGAATGTGATCACTTGGATGAGACGATTCAACTGGAAACCTCACTGGTATCAGTGAGAAGATGTAGCAGTTATAAGTATTTATTACAGCCAGTGGATTTCAGGACTTATTCTGTGGAAAATCTTTCAGTGTGAATGTGTCTTTCAAGATTACAGACAAAGCCCATGTCTTTCTCTGTCACCAGGAAAACATAGGTGATAACTCCAGATAAACATGACTTTTCATTCCTCTCCGACTTCATGAGAAAACATTTTGTTCATTATGTGATTGAGCAACTATGCCTTGAGCAACAATTTATTAATTCCTTTTTTCCATTTCGGACAGAACACTGTGCCCAGATAGAATAAGCACAAAATTTCAAAGCAATCTTGAAATACATAAAGAATGAGAGAGCCTATCTGAGCAAGAGGCTTTTCTGGTCTGCTCTTCTGAGCTGGATGTTTAATCCAGCAAAGATTTTCAAGTTGATAAGTAGGTCCCTTATGGGGGCAGGTGGGAGCGTGAATGAGAAACCTATTTTATAATTGGGTACAGTGAGGCATGTCTCCTTCAGTGGCGCTGCAAATATGTGTTGGAGCCCTAGCAAAATCCAGTAGTCACATCTCTTCCTCCTTGCTATAGATTGATAATTATGAGGAATATTAAACTCCTTGGCAGATGATCATTTGCACACACTGTGATATGCTCTGCGTGAAACCTGGACATATGTGTCAGTTATATTTTTGATGGATGTATAGTAATGAGTCATTTGAGTGAAAGATTGCTTAGAGAAAATTATCAGTAGCTGCATCAGAATGAAGTGAAAGAAATCAAGAAGTTGCCAGCAATCCCGTAAGCTTTTGGCTTGTGTATAGCTGCAGGCGAAAAAAAGGTAAATTGAGTATTGGGTTACACTGTTGGGTTAAGCTTCGTGTCGGAGCATGTCATACGGTACGTGCAAGGCACTCTGTGCCAGCGAGGTAATGTAAAATAGGAATCTAGTTAACCTGGCTGCTATCACTTCTTGGTAGCCTTCAGTACTCAAGACATTACAAGAGAGAAATGATTTAAAAAAAAAAAAAAAGTGTCAATATCAATCTGTTCAACAGAATTGCATTGCACTGTACAGAAACTTTGCATGTTCCTTTCCAGAGGTGGTTGGAGTTCAGTGATGACAGAAGAGATCTCTAATACTAATCTGGAAATGCTTTCAGATATGCACATAAAGTTCGCTATACACTGAAATGTAATAGGGAGTACCAGGCAGAAATACTTAAATGTGTGGAAATTAATCAGGGTTTGAGATGCAGTTTCTTAATTGAATTAGTAATTACAGATTGATGCTAATAATTTTTTCTGCAAGAGTTGAGCAACTAAGTCTTGTTTTAAGACAACTAATTATCAAGCAGTGTCAGGCTCCTCTTATGCCTCAGTTTTTAAGTAGAATGATACTTTCTGTAGGAAGTGCTATTATGTTTTCCTATGTGTAGAAAAAAATGATCCTGACAGAATTAAAATAGGCTTTAGATACTGTCAGATATGTACTTTCTTACATACAGCTTCAGAGAAGGACTTTATTTAATTTTATTCTGCACAAATCTCTTGCAGTTTAGTGAAAATTAATAATTTTGATTGTAAAAGGTGCATAAATATCTTATTTAAAATACTATATTCAATTTTACGTTGAAGTAATATATTTTTAATTTCTTATGGATTGCTTTGATACTAAAGCTATTTCTACATCAGAGAGGTTTTGAAGTAACTCCTACAACTAACACTTATCACAAAAGCATTCTTTTCTCATAGAGTTCCTTCCTAAATTTCTGTTTACAAAAAGTAAATTGCGTTTCCTTCTGAAATTATCCAGTTATCAAATAAATGGCGTACTATGTATTTTTGTACACGTGTTCTATGTATTTTTTTAATTGCATCTGTATGTTCGCTTGATAACTGACCGTGGGTCTTTAAGTGATTGTTGGGAGGAAAGAAAACTTTGTGTTTAAGGTTATAATGCTGTCGATGGTTTCAGCGGGTTGAGGTTTCACTACGGTGCACAGGTGGCATTAGATGTCTGCAGGGTAGTTTAATAGTCATAAAATGGGCTGCAAAATATACATATTATGATGCATGTTTATGCTATATTTGCAAACTGTATGAAGTCTCATAGTGCCTTGTTTCCTTAGTTCCACTGAAAAGTTATAAAATATTCAGAATTCAACAATGACTTCATTCTCATACCAAGGTGTTAGCTTGTTGAATGCAGCCTTTAATACTAAGTTTCTGACTTGGCAAAGCTACTTTAATTTCACTGTTCGTAGAAATAAGTGGACGTTTGTCATGGAATATTAAAATACAAAATGTGATGTCTTTTTGTCTGGAAGTTTTGGTATATGGTAAGTGCTCTTGCCAGCTGTGTTATACAGTGTTTTCACTAAAGAATTTGAACACAGACTCTAACATAATACTAAAAAGGTGTTTGTTATTTTATCCATTAGCTGTAAAAATATTATAAAATTTATAAACTTTTAATTAAGGAAACAGGGTGCTAAAAATAAAGACATAAACAAGGAGGGTAAGATGAGGCTGCACAGCGATATATATGAAAGGAAAAATACATTTCTGGTGTTACGTGGGTATCATTTCACCCTCATCCTCATTGTGGGAACGGAGCTGAGAATCTCAATATTTGAAGCAGACAATGCAGTGACTCTTAAGTAGCACAGAGAGAATTATGCAAGTTTGTTTTATACAGCAAAATAATAGTTGATTTGTCGACTTTAGATTTTTCATAACTTATGAATGTAGTTTTCTGAAAAATGGCTAGTTAAGGCAAATCAGTTGGGAACTGGTAGCAAATTAAATTAACATTAATTGAATTGTGAACCACATTGTTGCTCCTGCGAGGTGCTCTGTAAAACTGTAGAGTGTGATCCTATGCTACTGAAACCAACGGTAGCTTTTCTGTCGATTTAAATAGGTGTGGGGTTTGGCTTAGAGCCACTTGAGTTACACTAAGTGGGCCCGTGGCATGGTTAGAAATGTTTTGTTTAATCCCTTTTGGTGTTAAAGTAGGATTAAAAATAAAAGAAATTCTCTGAAGAGTAGGCTGAACTCCTTGACATGTTTATATGTTTGGTTTGAGATGCTGGGTGAGATGAGTTTCATTTCTGAAATTACTATTCAGGTAGGAATTCTAGGAGATAGATAGATATATATAGATAGATATATATGTCTATATGTTTTTTATCATTATTTTCACCCTTAACTGTAAGGGAGCCAACGAGATTTGCAAGTTAATTATACTTCAACAATTTTCTAATGTTAGATAGTTTACATTAACACACAGAAGACAATATTATCACTATACAAGCAGTCATAAATTTAGAGCAGTAATTATGCAGTTTTGATTCTTGGTTTAAACCAGAAAAATCTAAGAATAAATGTCACATGTTCAGACTTACCAAAGCCTTATTTCAGTAGCTAAACAATTACAGTCTAATGTGTGGTTCTCTTTAATCTCATAAAAAATTTTGGAGTAGCTAAAATTGTTAGAGTCAGGAATTTAACTAAAATATGCTTTCTTATATAATCACCTGCTGCCTTTACATGCTTCTTACGAAATTTCATTCCAGAGCTTCACTTACGGAGTTACATTAGTGAGAACTGGAAATGTACACTAAATGTTTGGTTTTTTCTGAAGTCGTACATCATTAACTTTTAACTGGTATATTTATAACTCTGGAGCAGAATAAGTATCCTCAAGCTTCATTTACATTTTGCAGCTGGATTTGGTATAATTTTTGACTATCACACCTATTTCCTTATTTCACATGCATCTGGCAGCTTTCTAGATTTAAGACTCTGGAGTCTCAGGAGGTGAAACCTTGTGCATCTGTAATATTCTTCAGTGTGGCTTTTTTTTTTTTTTTTTTGACAAATAGGTAGAAATATTTTGACAGGTATTAAAGAGGGGAGCTGTCTTCATTCTAAATACAGCCCATTAAGTTTTCCAATAATGTCTGCATAAAATGACTTTGCATCCTTTCGGCTGCAGTTTCTTATTTCGTTTTGTTTTTCCTGAGTATATAGGTGTCATGAAGTTGAACTCAAGGGTTGTGGTAATGAAAATTGAATCTGGGTTGTTTGTCCCATGTTGGACAATGTGACTCTGTTTTCAGTTTGGTGAAGAGAAAGAAGTATTCAGGATTACTTTTTCTCCTGAAAAGAATCCCTCTATTTAGAACATAGGTGATTTACTTTCTTATTTGGAAGTAAAGGTGAAGCAAAAAGAACTTGCTTTTGCAAGGTGCACATGTAATCAAAGTTAGTGTTGTGGCCAAGAACTGAAATAACTGTTGTTTCTCTGTCTGAGTAGCATTCTGAAAAGTGATAGAAAAGGCATGGTTTTATTTTTCTGGCAAAGTTCTGAATGATATGCCTGGGATATTTTAGTATCTAGAAACGCAGACTAGTCACAACAATTGAATTGACTTAAAGGTTCTGTGTGCCTGACTTCTATTGTTTTGATTCTTTTTTTCTCTGTGGAAGTTTGTTAGACACCCTGTTCATGCTAACTCATCTGAGCTGCAGTCATATCTTGTTACATCCTAGTCAGGCAGAAAGATCTGATGTGAAATCATCACAGACTATAAAACAAGAAATCTAGTTTATCAAGTTGTCATTGTAACGTATGCATTCTTGGAACCCTTTTTGATTGAGTAATTGAAAGCACACTTGAAAAAAAATTTCTCAATGTGCTAAATAACTTTTTTTTTTTTCCCTTTCAGACAAAATCCGGAAACTACCTTTGAAGTGTATGCAGAAGTAACCTATTCAGGAATCAGTTGCGCTGGGAAAGGTACTGTTCTGCACTGTAATTCTACCTATTTATTGGCTGAAACTATTCTTAAGAATCATGTATTATGAGCTAATGAAGTATATTTAATACTATGCTGTTCTAGCGTTTAAAGATATCTTAATTGCTGGTTCTGCAGAATCTTTTACAGTTAGGACTAATGAGAAATTCTTGCCTCTGTCCCCGATTGCGGGCAATTTTCTGATTTCTTTGACTGTTTTGCCTTTTTTGTCTTTTGAAATAGAAATAACTTACTGCTGATATAAGGAATGAGTAGTTTTAAAACAAAAAATACTCTAAAACTTCTTGAGTGGAATTTGTTTTTCCTCCTTCTTTGTCTGCAGAAGTATTTTTATCTGTTCCCAGAATTCTTCCTCTGATAAAATGATTTTTTTCTTGAAATAAGACATGAATGCAGTTTATGATGTGGTTAACAATTTGAACAAACATTGTTAATCAAGCCATAACAATAAAGGATTTTTCTATAATAATATTTCTGACAAGTATTCCTATGTTTATGCTAGAGAAGTCCCATAACTGCTGAAACCAACATGTAAGTATAGTTGTGAATTTTTGGTTGTGCTTTGTTCTAAACCTGAGGAACTTGATCAAATAAGCAGGAAAAGCAAAGGTTGAAATCCGTAATCCCAGAATTTAGTTCAAGGTATTGTTTTCCGAGATCTGTCTCTAGAATGTTATGAAAAGGAGGGATGTGAAAATTAAATAATTATGATTAGTCACCATATACTGAAGTAATATCTTCTGTCTTTTATGAAATGATCATCTGTGTACAATATATACGGTACAATGAACCAATAGGATTTTTATATTTATTGACTGGAAAGCCACTTATCTTCTTTTATATCTGTATTTGTTTGTTACATTCAGCAAAAGTCAAATAGCTTCAACTCTTTCCTTTACTGCCAAATCCTCCATAGGAGTTGTAACTGGAATACAGTTTTGGCTTGTCCTACTGCTATATGCCATCACGACTATTTGATGTAACTGCAGGAGCCCTTTTAATAACTAGTCTTTGTTTCTGCACATCTGACCTGGATTCTAGTGCCAGAAAATCTGAACAAATTTGACCATAAACATTACATTGTACAGTACTAGTGTCTGGGTATAATCTTCTCTTTGAAGTTTGTTTGCATCCCCCTGGAGGGATTAATTCCCTGCTGTGGGAAGGTGGGTTAAAAAGCATGGAAACTACTTTACAGGTTTTTAATTGGAGAATTTAGTATACATTTTGTTCTATAAACCAACTGATTCTGTGGGAGTTTCACTTAGTTGTGTTTTTAGGTTTGTTGTATGCACTTATAGGTGCAAAATCTTCAGAAATTGTTTTTAGTGAGTAAAAAAATTATTTTAATAATTGTTTTTACAACTCATATGTACTGAAGTTTTTTCTCTGAATAATCTTTTGAAAGATTTTTACCAGCCAATTCTTTTATATTTAAGTGGTGCCCTTTATTCTCAAAAGTCTTAGATGTGTGTATCCCCAAATACTCTGTCCTTCTGTTCTAAATGAAGGTGGTGGTTTGGTTCTCTACAGCACCGGCTGTGTTTAACAGCTATGCTCTATCCCATTCTAGAAATACAGACCTGGAGACCTCCATGTAGTCTTTTCTACTTCTCAGCTAGCTGTTCTGTGCCAGAAGACCAAGAATATGTATCAAAATTTTTTCTGCGGTTGGGGAATGTGTATCACATGGGAAGGAGCAGTTACTGTCAATAAAAGAAAATGTGTAAAAGGTGTATAGGGAGCAAATTATCAGACATGTTTAAAAAAGTATTTCTTCCTATGTAATGGATCCCAAAATTAACTGAGACAGCTGGTTTTGAAGTTTGTGTCTAGAGTAATAGTGCTATTGATCACTTACAGTGCTTGTAATTCTTATATCCATCTTCTGACGTGGTCTTGAGGAGAATGAATTGCTCCAAAGATACAGCAGCCCTAGTGTGGGAAAGTGTCTGGTTTGTGGGGTGGTAAAACACGCCTCTATTTTGTTTTATTCAAAAGTTTGTGTAACTGTTGTGGTTTAACCCAAGCCGGCAACTTAAGCACCCCTGCAGTGGAGTGGGGGATAGAAGCAGAAGAGTAAAAGTGGGAAAGTAGCACAGGATGTTTTCTATGTGACTGTTAAATATCAACTGAAATTAAAAGCTTTAACATATTTAATCTTGCTGAAATGGGAGATCCTGATGTGTGCTATTAACCTCTGACAGACAGTTGTACGTTCAAGTAGCATTATTGCTCAGGTAATTGTTAACAATCTTGCATTAAATGTTTATTTGGTTAAGAACTTTTGAAATGAATGAAAGCAGCATTATTCATTGACTATCATATAGAATCATTCAGGTTGGAAAAGACCTTTAAAGTCACCGAGGCCAACCATAAACCTAACATTGCCAAGTCCCCCACTAAACAATGTCCTTAAGCACCATGTCTGCACGTCTTTTAAATACCTCCAGGGATGGTGACTCAGCCACTTCCCTGGGCAACCTGTTCCAATGCTTGATACAGAAGGCTCCTTCTTATCAAGATGGTTGACTGCAGAAGGACAAAATCTGTTCTGGGTTCTGAGAAAGACATCAGTAAACTGGAACAAGTTCAGTGGGGGCCACCAAGATGGTGAGCGAAATAGAGCACTTGCACTGTGAGGGGAGGTTGAGTGCTGGGCCTGTTCAGCCTGGAGAAGACTTCGGGGAACCCGAACAGCAGGCTCCCCCACCTGTGAGGAGCTCATCAAGATGACATATCCAGATATTTCACAGTGGTGAGTGGCAGGAGGAGGAGAGATGATGACAGACTGAATCGAGAGGTGTTCCACCTGAATATTGGGAATGTGTTCACCATGAGGGCAGTCAAGTATTGGACCAGGTCACTCAGAGAGGTTGTGCAATCTCCATCCTTGGAGGTTTTGAAGACCCAGCTGGATCACAACCTGAACAACCTAGTCTGACCTCACACCTGGCCCATCTTTGAGCAGGAGTTGGGCTAGAGACCTCCTGAGGTCCCTTCCAGTCTGAATTATCCTGTAATCCTAAAATCTGATTCCTGGAAACGTCAGCTTCAGGAACATCTGGAGGATGTTTTATATTAATAAGGTATGAAGAGGAAATTTCATTGAAACCAAAGAAGTTGAAAAAGCAAGCATTGTTTTATTCCAATCCAGGCAGAATTCTGCCAAACCGCAATGAAATGAGTGAACTGAGAAAGGAAGTGATCACTGGATCAGCTCAGCTGTGGTCTCTCTGTCCTTTCCCCTCTAGATCGTTTAGAAATAACGATCATCTGTGTTCAGCATTGGTGATTTGTGTGTTTCTGGCTCATGAAGTCTTTGGTGCGTTGTACAATTCCAGCATTCAGTGGTATCTAAAAGCTGTATTTGTGCTTTTCTTTGTTATATTCATAAATCTTATTTGGGGACTTGTGGATTTTTCTTACTGGGTCACTTTATGTAAATGTGCTATCTTTGTTTTGAGAACTGTGAAGCAAGATATCTGCAACTGTGACTAGCAGTGGTAAGATGAATATTTGTTAGTAAGAAGATATTTCCTTAAGACAATTACCAAACCATTTTTTTGCCTTATGATTGTTGTGATTTCGGTAGAAACTGGGAATTCCCCTTAGCTAATTGAATCGAAGTTTGTGTTTTGTTTTGGTTGTGTTTTTTTTTTTTTTTTTGTAAAGAACATTTGACTTCTTAAAATAGAATGAAGATACAAAACTGCTTTTATCTTAACCTTGTTCCAGCTCTTTTTTTTTTATTTTTACTTTATTTGGGCTCTCTGGAATTAAGAATTTCTTTCCATGATGCATTCATTCATGTTCTACTTTTCAGTTTCATCAAATAGCACAGTTCTCTTGTCCATACTCTCATCTGATAAAATGTTGATGTCTTCTCAGCAAAAGTCTAAGGTAGCAAAATAGAATAGAAAGGAGTCTGCATCTTTACAGTGCCAGTACATGGATGTTATATCTAGTGAGAAATCTGTGTTGTGTGTGTCAAGTATAAGTATGTCAGGCATAGGAACTTTGCAAGTCTAGTGCTTCTCACCAACTCCCACACACTTACTTTCAGGAGGAGAGGAAAAAAAATAGTCGTGGTTTTATTTAAAAAATGGAATATTGTTATAGGGAAAATATTGACTAAAACTTTACAGTGTTAATACTTTGATACTTTGATTCTTTCATTTGTAGTATCAGGTAAGTACTCAGGTGACTCAGAGGAAAGGGTGCAGTTCCAAGACTGATACAGAAGCCCGACTAAGAGACTGGTTTAAGTTAAATAGTCTTAACAGGTGCCTCTTGTGCAGTGGTGTAGGTTGGGATTGGAGTAAGATGCTAATACTGTACAGATGGCACAACAAAGTCAACTCTTTGACAAATACCTTTGTCTTTCAGCCATTTCAGGTGAACAGGTAGATTGTTAGGACTTAAAAAAAATTGCTCACTAAGACAAATTCCAACTCACATATGAGACTTGTAATATTCTGTAGCCTATGCATGGGCATTGTCTTTGCCTTTATATATTTTAGTGTTGTGTAGTTTTGACAATAGGAAAATTTCTAACTTTCCTTATCACTTATATGTAAGGAGGCCATCTACCTCGCTAAATTCAGGTGTATTGTTTTTTAAAAAAAAAAAACACAGTCAAAAAACTTTTGGATTTATCATCATTATTTTAGAGGTTTCACTGATATGAGTTAACCTTGCTTCAGGAATGAAATAAAGTAGAGCCTCAAAAATCATAAAGGGGAACAACAGTACAGTATTGCACAGCAGATACCAGTAATATTCTGGATGTCACCTATAATTTCATTAGTTTTGCCTTTCTGCTGTGATAAGTAATTAAGTATGACTTGGGAGAAATGAGTAGATGTATGTTTTAGTTGACACTAAAATACTAACACTTCTGAACATTACATACAAGGTTTAAGGTGTACCATCGTTTTTGTTAGCATATTGCTTTATGTTATGTTTTACTGTTCACCCT